TTCAGTAGGAATAGAATGATAATACGTCTGGGTTACCACTTAGTCCCGTTGTATGATTTGGCTTCCTACGGATTAAATATCACCTTACGAAATCATGGTGATGCGAACTGTGTAATCATTCCTGGGTTCTTCTCATTTAATCACTTTTCAGTAGGACTAGAATGATAATACGTCGGGGTTACCACCCAGTCCCGTTGTCTGATTTTGGCTTCCTACGGATTAAATGTCGCCATACGAAATCATGGTGATGCGGACTGTGCAATCATTCCCAGTTTCTCCTCATTGAATCGCTTTTCAGCAGGCGTGGAATGATAATACGTCGGGGTTACCACTTAGTCCCGTTGTGTGCTACACTTCTACCGCTGATCCGGTGTTTTGCTAAAATAATTAATATCCGTATTCCTAAGCACTCGCGAAGTCCGTTTTCACTTTCTCCACCCTTATCCACGAACTAGTGGACTGCCAGAGCATTCATTCGGACCGTGAATGAGATTGGGTTCAATGCCTGACCGTCTACGTGCGTCATACGCACATGCAACAGTCGCCAAGACCTCAATCAGACTTGCCACGCCATGAGCCAACGTTGGTTCCTCTCAGGCTCAGCACAAAAAGTAGCATTTTGGTTCCAACGAAAGCCTCCTATCTAGACGCCTCAAATTACAGCTAAAAGTGATGAGCATCATCAGAAGGACTTTGCGCGTACGAAATTACCCGCTTAATTGGAGACACCATGTCGCATACTAGTCCGACAAGCCCTAACCTCTCTGAGGTATTCCAAATGCTTTAAAGACCAGAAAACCCTAGAAGGGTTTCTGATGGTAGGTACCACAAGGAATTAGAGTACGCTATTGAAACATCTGCCAAAAAGCACTGCGTTTGTGATTATGATGGAAGACTCTAACCAGAGGACAGCAAATCCGATAACCCCTGCTCAAATAAGGTCGGCACATGAGAAATTGGAAGTTCTACTACCGACTTGGTGTCAGGGCAGGCCTGCTGGCTTTGCGATCGCAGCGAAGACAACTCCTTGTAACGTATTTCCTATTTTTGGAAAGGAGGCACGTAGCTTTGCACATTATACCCCCAACATGCAGCTATTGTGAAGCCCTGTTAGCAATAACACATGGGCAGTTTTGGGTAGGACTATATGGCAGTTCGACCGTCGATTCCGACGATGTCCATCGTGTGCTCCGCAGCAAGGCGAGGCAGGGACGGTGACTTGCGCTTGAATTAGTTTAAAGTTAATGTGGACTTTCGCAGCATCTACTGCACCCTCTCCCCATTTGGATCCGGTGTCAAAACAGAGTCAAGAAGACCGGAGGCGGGGGAGGGCGCAGGTGGATGGCACGGTCGAGGCCGCACCTTGGCGTTCTTTTCCACACTCCCTGGTTCACACAGTAAATGACCGGGTTTTTGACCAACAACAACACCTCAACAGGGGTCAGAAGGACGAGGATGATGACTGGGCACCCATGCCCCCCACCGAGAGCGTAAGTGCATCCACCGCCAGGGAAACAGGTGTTAGGGAACTGCCAGCGCATACCAAGCTACGAGGGCTATGGTTTGCTGATGCTGGCAGGGCACACGCTTTTAGACATTTTGGTAGGACAGTATACTTTCAGTTAAAACGATCTTGCTTTTTACGCATGTGTGTGATCTTATCCTACCCCTCCATAGACCTATAAGTTAAGGGAACAGACGGAAGGCTGCACGCAGACCCTCATCTAGTAGATGGAGTTAGGACTGCTGTAGAAAACGACTCAGATGCTGGACGCTATCTTCTGCCCCCCTTTGACTCAGTCAGTCAAACCTGCAACTTCTTTTTCATACGTACGCATGACTTGCGGCCAGATCAGGATCTGGAGGAGGACTTATTCAGTGCTCTGTCTTCTTCGACTTGTGGTTCAAATAAACCTTTGCTGGGGGGAACTTTATATTCTAGTCTATCTAGACAGATAAGGATTTCATAGATATTTTGGCAGATTTTGAATAATTCATAGTGACCCAACTGTGAAAAACCCGGCGCCTCGGTGGGATTCGAACCCACGCAGTAAGGGCAGGGCTTTAGTACAGCCAATGCTCTAACCACTTGAGCTACGAGGTCCCGCCGGACGACGCGAGTTTAATCACATTTGGGTCAAGTTACCCGCCCAAGCTACTGCAACGTCTGAAATCCACCGAATCTGGCGCAGTAAGTTGACTGCCCAAGCAGGATTTCCTAAGTACTTCATCTAGGATTTCCTATTTCTTGGTTCTTTTCGCTGCCTGCATTTAGCAAAAGAGCACGCATATCCATGCAAGTTCAACCGTAACCTAAGTTAGCAAAATTCGCCTGAGACTGTCACCCACCATCCAGAGTCTACTTCTCACCCTCAGGCTCCTTTTTAGGAAAATAACTTTCGAGGGATCTGGAAAAGGTTTTAGATTATTTATCGGACTTATGTCACTTTGCATAATAACTGCGTAAATCTCAGGTCGTAGTTGGCTTTATCGCATCCTCTGCCAACCGACAGAATGTCAATTTTCGTAGGGTCTATATAAATTTCTCGCGTCCTAGTCCATTGCAAGGTGGGGTTTTAAGCACTTTAAACGTAGTTGACGTTGCAGACGGAGAACAGGTCATGCGTGGTGTTGCAGATACTCTGTTTGGCTTTTCTGGCCACTGCGTGCGCACCTACCTCCGGTCGTCATTTTCGATAAATGTCCCAATGTTGCATGTATTATGCCTGGCCATGTTTTTCCACGATATGATGTAAAAGTAATCCAATGAGATGATGTTGCATTACACATCAGGCAACTTATTTTTTTCCTCTTTCTCCCCTGTTTTGTCTACATTTTATTAGAGGGTTAAAATGGTTGGACAGAAGGAGAGCGAGAGTTCAGTTGAGTTTATCCGGCTCTTTGCGGCCGTTTTGAAAAATCTCACTGTCCCTCCGAGCTGTCCTCTGTCGGAGGAGGATTCTATGTCCCAGACGGATGATACTGCAGTTCCTGCCGCCGGGACTGGGTACTTCGTGGAGACTATTCACGTGCCCCCGCTTCCTGCCAGCCAGGATCCCCAGTGCTCCTCCATGATCCAGATTGGCTATTTGTTACTGGTGGGTTGTGCATGTACGCGTTCAACCATTTTACTTTTATTTCAGTCTACTCACACTTATTAAGTAACCACTTATTATCTGGTTTTGTTTGAAGCTCCGACTCCGTCTCACGCACAATACAAAAGCGAAAGACGAGTTTCGAGTGCACATTCCCATCACTATTGGCACAAAATTCGCCAAACCCACTTCATTCCTTGAGGGAACAGAAGGCAAGTGCAAAATTCCTTCTTTGTGCAAACTGTCCCTCTAGAAATGACACCACCTTATCACCACCTTCATGAACTTTTCTGTTTTCCTTCACCATCAGTGTCGCCCTGTTACGCTTCGTTCGATTTCTCAACGGGGTCGATAAGAGAATCCAACCCACGAGATTCCGACTACCCAGTCTACCTCTATTTTCGGGCTACTGCCGTCGGCAAACCCACCTCCACTGTTTCACTTAATACCTCACTGACAACAGTCGTAGACAATGCGAACATCTTGGCGGAGGTACCCAGACGGAGCGCTCCGCACGAACAGCCTCCACCCTTGCCTGCCCGACGGCCTCCTGTGCCCGTGGCAAAAGGCCTCAGCTGGGAGCCCTCAGTTGGGCCCCATCAGGCGTCTTCTTCCCGGTCCGCCAGCGGCGTGCCTGCCTTCACTCGTCACAACTCCGAAAGCCACCTGCGTTCCGCCGCCACACCGCAGTTACGCGAAAAACTCTACTTTGATGATGGTGAACTGCTGGCCCAACCCTCGTCAAGCCCCAGCGCCGCCTCTTCTCCCTCCCCATCCAGTGAGGACTGCTCATGTGAGCTCTCACCTCCGTCGTCTCCTCCCTGCTCGACATTGCCTGAAAGACCCAAGCTCACAGTTCGGGTGCACTCGGCGCATGTGGAGTGCAGTGCCACCACAAGTGACGACGGCGGCAACGAAGTCAGCCCTCGAGTCTTTCCCCCTGATACCAGCTCGCGCCGGTTTAGGCGATCCACGGACACCGCGCTCCGCCGTTCGTTTCGACGACAAAACTCTCACCATAGCTCTGAGTCGACTTAGATTAACTGGAAATTCCACTAGGGTATACACTGGCCGTTTGTAGGGTCGGAATTATGACGTAAAACGCACACGTTTTGTCCACTTCAGTGGAACGCCAGGTTTAGTCTACCTCATTCTTCCTTCCGACAGGTGCAATTTGCCAAATTCAGGTGGAAGTATTTTGACAGTGGAGACTGACATCTTCGCTGTCCTTTTTCACAATGGCTTCTTTTACTTTTATCTTCGAAAAAGCACCCCATTTTCTCCGTCTGCCTGGTTGCCATCCCTGCTACCTTGTTTATAACTTCTTCTGCATCGTGGTTTATAATTTTATATATTTAATTTAGTTAACCGCAGTCTCAAAGACCTGCAAATAGATGCTTAATCTCATAGAAGGTAAAAAAGACGAGGGGAAGATGTTCTCTCTCAGATATATTGGTTCTTTTTGAGCTACTCGAACGGCCAGTCTCAAGGTTCGCTCCCGTTTAGAGCTGCAAGATCTGCGGCTGCTGAATTCTGAACAGAACGCACTTCGGTGACCTTCATCTCTGCTATGTAGCACCGCCGTTGTCTCTGGGTAGTTTTGTAGCAGCCGCTCCAGTTCTCCTTTTCTCCGGCTCCGTTTTGTCGGTCGATGGCCGCTACAATCGTTGCCAGGCCGCTGACACACAACCACCCCCGCCGATTATAACTGGCCCCCCCCCCCTCCTGTCCAGCTGCAGTGACCCCCGGCTGCCCCCACAAACAATTATCACCTCATGCGCGTCGGACGACCTGGCTTGATACCCGTAAGCCCCTGTAATTATGCCTCCCCCTAATCCTCCCCTAATCCGTCCAATCTCATGATCAGCATCCAACCCGTCACCCCCACCTACTGACACAGACTTTCACTCGCGCGTAAACAACACACCGCGACTGACGCTCTCCGTGAACGGACGCTTTTCTCTGTTGCAAGCAAACCGCCAACTTGCGGCAACCTGCCCTGTGTACAGAATAAACTAGTCCTCACAGCTCCCTGACTTCTGACAGTAGACGAAACGAACTTATTGTGCGTGGTTTAAGTTGATCTCACATCCTTGATCACCCCACAGTTTGATATGTTGTTTGATTCCAACTTGCTTAATATTCTTCTGACAACTGACTAATCGCCCGACTCAGCAGGAACCGAAATTAAGTAGGGGCTAATTTCACCTGTTGAACATGCCGTCTGATCGAGTCATCACTGACCGACGTATAGAAACCGACTGTGAGTCAGTAATAGCAGTCTGTCTGTTTATCACCCCTGACGTGTCGTATAAACAACAGTTCTTGAAATCAGGCAAACTGATACGACATTGTGCAATAATTTACCGTACTAACAACACAGGTATTAGCTAAAAGCCCAGACACGCGTGTTTCGCCGATCTTGTGCCGCTGCCTGACGCAGCTGCGAGGGATTCGGCTCGTCAGTGGGTCCCCCAGCTTTCCCCGTGTGTTTTCTGGTATATGCACTCCAGTTTCAACTTGCCTTGCTTAATTTCCGAGGAAATTAATACGCAAACTTGGAGTAACTCTTTCGAAACAGGCCTTTTCAGGCACGGTCTGAAATTTCGAAAGAGTTTACTCCAAGTTCGCGCATTAATTTCCTCGGAAATTAAGCAAGGCAAGTTGAAACTGGAGTTCATATACCAGAAAACACACGGGGAAAGCGGGGGAACCCACTGACGAGCCGAACCCCTCGCAGCTGCGTCAGGCAGCGGCACAAGATCGGCGAAACACGCGTGTCTGGGCTTTTAGCTAATACCTGTGTTGGTAGTACGGTAAATTATTGCACAATGCTATACTACTGGCTGCCTGTTGGTGGTTTGTGAATATTAAGCGGTTATTCCGCAATAGCTGATGGATTTCGGCTCAAATATTCATATCAAATTTCGGACCGTGCCTGAAAAGGCCTGTTTCGAAAGAGTTACTCCAAGTTCGCGCATTAATTTCCTCGGAAATTAAGCCAGGCAAACTGATACGACGCCTATCTGGCCTGGGTTTACCACAATTGACTAACGATTGCACTAAACACGACGGAACGTTGGTCTTGACCATTCTGCTATAGTTAAAACATGAGGCTCACGTTTTTGCTTTGTTAGTCAATGTGAGAATAGATCTGGGAAGGGGGGGGGCGGGTGGGTCGTTCCAGTATTCCCCCTGATCTGCGCTGTAAATCTGACCTCTCTAGAGACAGCAAAATTAGCAGAGAGTATCAGTCATCAGTCTAGGCGGGGCCGCCGAGTATATAACAAGTTTTGCCAGACAGTACCGTCGTTCGTGATATGACGACTAATAGGCCCACCCTCTCAGCGCATACGTACACATTAGACCATGGCGTAAATTTGTCGCCAAGAGAATGATTTGTGTTTCGGGTTTACTTTCAAATAATTGACTGGAGAGTAGACAGTCAACTGAGTAGATGCGAGACCTGTGAGTCGTATGTGAAGTGATTTATAGTGAGACCGACTTCCGCAGCCCCTACCGCACCCTCTCCTTCCTCATTCACCAACCTCCAATGACAAGAAACTGTCGAGACGACCGGAGGTGGATACGGACGCAGTGGATGACAAAGTTGAATAACCCTTTTACCCGTCCCACGCGCGAGCTGGCTCCGCGGACATACACCGAGTTCTCATCGGAACAAGGGGGCCCAGGACTCAGCTGAGCAGGAGTGGCATAGAGGTCGCATTCAGAAGAAGCCATAGAGGCTATATCTTAGTTTTTGAACCAGTCACTGCAGACACGCACAGTATTAGAAGGAGAAGAGGAAGAAGATGGCGATGATGATGATGATGATGATGATGATGATGATGATGATGATGATGATGATGATGATGATGATGATGATGATGATGATGATGCGATCAGTGGAACAAGAAGCTTACTGGCCTGACGTTTCGGATTCTCACTCGAACCCATCACCAGAGACGGTTGCAGATAAAGGTAGTGGAGGCACAAAAACTGCAGTATTTAATGTATCTAGCCGCATGGGGCCACATGTGTACTATAATTAACATCTATCGCGATCACCGTTGGGCGTCGTAATTGAAACGATGATGGCTCGTCCGTCCGCACCGAAGTCGTCAGTTGGCGCAATTTCATCATCCGTGTTGGACGTTGGCATGACGATTAGTTAGCAATTTTTCCCGCTGTCACCGGACTTGTTGCTCGCTCGCGCTCTCCCCACGTGACTGATTCCCCCGCCCAGGGAATGTCTCAGCACCAAATATGATATGAAGAGGTCATTACGCCTGTTGGTAAATTGCGGGCCTGAGAGCCATGATTCGAACAGTTTGTGGCTCACGCGGTCGCAAGTCCTTGCGAGGACCTCGACCTTTTGAAACTTGAAAACACGGCCGGGGCCCGTCGACTAAGTCGCCACCTGGGAGCTGGCGTCTTTCCCCCTCACCGCTGCTGCGTGCTCGCCCATCCGCGTCCAGAGTAATCTGCCGGTTCCTTCGAAGTAGCTGCTCTGTCCGCAACTGCACCAGATCCGGTAAACGACTCCAGATGTTTCCTGCCGTGGCAGCGGGTCCTTCGGCTTCATGACATGGCGCCTGATGGTTGCTTCCAGCCCGTGGACGCAACCCCAAATCCAAATGGATTGAGAAGGCGACCGATGGCTTTCGAGACGTTCGCCACGCTCGGAACTCAACTGCGTGGGAGTGGCATAGAGGCCGCATTCAGAAGGGGCCATAGAACCCGTACCCCAGTTCTTGGACCAATCCCTACAAATACACACATTACTGACTACGACGGCAGAGTTGCCCATTCAGTTAGCAGCTCTCCAAAACACGTGAGAGATTCAAGCGTGTCAGATTTACTACTGTGTGCTGGAATTCCATAGGATTGGATTCCCCAATATCGCATTCATTTATTTTTCTCCATTGTATGCACGAATTCATTGTCCAAGTCTGTCAACTAGTGGTTGATAAAATAGCTGGAATAAAATTAGTCATAAGGACGAGGCAGACCGGAGTGGCCACTTCAGGTTTATTAGCCGTCATCAGCCACCTCCACCCGCGCCCAAGACTCGGCTCAACGGTTTAGCCAAGTGCTCTTCGTCGTGTGAGTTATGATCACTGGTCGGGGCTCTCATCGATCGCGTTAGAGGACGTACTCGTTAACGCTGTTCTGTCTCGCCTGCTGGCGGCGTTCTAGATTGATCCTCAAGGCACAAGGGGATCAGTATGTCCCGTAACCCGATCGCCGATCGCGTAACCGACGGAGCAAGGGGTCCGTGGCTCAGTAGTTAGAGCGTTGGACTTCTAACCAAAAGAGCACATGTGGGAGCCTCGGAGATTACAAACACGGACTTAGATGCGGTTAGTTAACGACATCTAATATACCAGAAATGACCGTTCCAGCCTCCCTCACCTTTGTCAACAGTACTTCTCAGCCGCTGTGCGGCTGCTGGTTGGGCTCGAGAGAGAGAGAGCTCATAAGGCACAACGGAACGCGTGAGTTCCGTAAGAAGGATCGGTGAGCGCCCCTCTACTATTATATATTCTCGATCGAAACCGACAAGCCAACGGTCTCGTGACCCAGTGGTTAGAGGCGTGGACTTCTAACTAACAGGTCGCGAGTTCGAGCCTCGGGTGTTCTACACTTCGGGTTGGTTATGACTGGCTGACGACAGTTAATAATTCATATTGACCCAACTGTGAAAAACTCGGCGCCTCGGTGGGATTCGAACCCACGCAGTAAGGGGGAAGGCTTTAGTACAGCCAAAATATCAATGAATTACGTGAGCCTAGTAGTCATCTGGTGGATTCTAGGTGAATTACTTAGGAAATCCTGTTTGGGCAGTCAACTTACTGTATCATATTTGGTGGATTCCAGACGCTGCAGTAGGTTGGGCGGGTAACTTGACCCAAGTGTGATAAAACTCGCGTCGTCCGGCGGGGCCTCGTAGCTCAGGTGGTTAGAGCGTTGGCTGTACTAAAGCCTTCCCCCTTACTGCGTGGGTTCGAATCCCACCGAGGCGCCGAGTTTTTCACAGTTGGGTCAATATGAATTATTCAAAATCTGCCAAAATATCAAGGACAGTTAATAAGCTAGAAAATGACCATTCCAGTCTCCCTTGTCTTTGTCAGTAATGTCATTCTGCCTATATCATGCGCCGCTATGCGGCTGCTGGTTGGGCTCGAGAGAGAGCCAATAAGGCACAACGGAACGAGTGAGTTCCGTAAGAACGATCGGTGAGCGCCCTCTACCATTAATTATACTCCTTCGAGTATAAAATATAAAGGAGGTATAATTCTCTATCAAATGACTGAAAGAAGGCATATTGTCGTTTATGGTTTCTATAAAATATATTTGCATTTGCGAGACCATGGGAAATCTATGGGAGAAATGCATCCTACTAATGTACTCATGTTTTACCGAGTGCGGTTTCTGCAGGAGATTGAAGAACAGCATATTCAAAAGCAGACATCCTGCCGAGTCGGAAATATTACAGGATTATGCCGCAAGATAATCAATATTCCAACCGCGCCCAGGTAATTCTTCCTAATCGAAAACACATTTCAGAATTTCAGTCAACAGTTCATGACATCGGTTACTCACTGTATCTGTCAGTTAGGCCCTTAGCCCTCTCTTGTTATGGCCAGAATCATGCTCGATGCTATTCTGTCCGTCGCCACCTGGGTTGTTGGTGACAAAGAACATTGTATCACAAGAAAAATACCGCATACGATAGTTCGACCGTTGCATCCAACAATGTCTATCGTGTGCTCCACATCAAGATGAGAGCAGGCATGGTGACTTTTGCCTGAATTCGTTTATAGTGGGAGCAGACTTGCCCAGCATCTACCTCACTCTCTTCTTTCCCACCTGGACTCGATGTCAAGATAGAGGCAAGAGGACCGGAAGCGGGGAGGGCACAGGTGGATGATGCGACCGAACCCGCACCTTGGCGCTCCACTTCACACCCCTGGTCCTTAAAAAACACTTGGCCAGGAATTTGACCAATAACAACAACGATAACAAAAAGGATGTGGATGACTGGGCAGCCATTCACACGACCTATATACCCATCGGGAACGCATGCATCGCAAGACTGCCAGTCCACTACAGGCTGCAAGGGTCAAGGTTTGCTGATCATGACCTAGCAGACGCCCACAGACCTCGGGACATCTAACACTTATAATACATACAATATCTGCTAAGCTAAAGTCAAGGAAAAGAACTAGAACGTTTGGCTTTTGTACTTCCCTGAAGTATGAGGACAACTTTTTTTCTCCTTTAAACGAAAGAACCCACTTTCACATTTGCATCGGAGTCACATTCGCTGCATTTGCATACTCCAGTGCTCTGCTCTGCGACTATAAATGCCCAACAGGGTAACCATGTAAGTACTAAGATACCGTTCAAATTGCTAGTCTTCTGCCAATTCCATTTCTAAATTACGGACTAGTGGAAACTAGACCATCTAAGAAATGCCTTACCATGTGCTTAAAAGTCTACATAGCCATCTGATGGAAGGCCTGTTCGCGGTAGATTATTGTGCATACACAAAGGGAAGGTAAATATCGGGACGTTTAAAAGAAGAAATTTTCTTTGGGGCCTACCACTGCGTTTTAGAGCATGAAATCACCCAACTTTGTGAATATGGGCTTTGAAATGCCTAAAATGTCCGGTTTTCAAATCAAAGCCCTGCTCCGACTGATTTACGTTTAAAAGAAAAAAACAGTTCTTAAGTGCGGCAAGTCCCGTTTGGTAAAACCTTCCGATTTAAATTACGTTCTCACAATAGATAAATAGGTACGGATATGTAAACTTGGTTAGGACCGCCCGAATAGCAGTTTACTCAGATTTTCGCTCAAATTTGCAAACATTTTGACCGATAAAATTATTTACAGCAGTTGTACTTGCCCATGAAATGTTAACCGAAATTCTAAAATGTGTCTTCGTTTTGAAAAGATTACCTAAGTAGGCAGAATGTTATTATCGATAAAAACAAGTGAGACTGGAATCGCCGTTCCTGGCTTATTAGCCGTCGTCAGCCGAGGCGTGGAACACATGGGGCTCGAACTCGCGACCTGTTAGTTAGAAGTTCAACGCCTCTCACCACTGAGCCACGGGCTCGTGGTCCTGTCGGTTTCGATCGGGAATATACAATGGTGGAGGAGCGATCCCCAATCGTTCCTACGGAACTCACTCGTTCGGTCGGGCCTTACGGGCTCTATCAGGAGCACGGCCAGCAGCCGCACAGCGGCGCGTGATATAGGCAGAAAGTTATTACAGTAAGAACGATCGGTGAGAGTCCCTGCACCATTGTATATTTCCGATCGCAACCGACAGGAAAACAAGCCCGTGGCTCAGTGTTTAGAGGCGTTGGACTTCTAACAGGTCGCAAGTTCGAGCCCCAGGTGGTCCACACTTCGGGCTTGGGTATGACTGGCTGACGACGGCCAATAAGCCGGAAATGGTCATTCCAGTCTCCCTTGTTTTTGTCAGCAATGCCATTCTGCCCATATCATGCGCCGTTGTGCGGCTGTTGGTTGGACTCGAGAGAGAGAGCCGTAAGGCGCAACGGAACGAGTGAGTTCCATAAGAACGATCGGTGAGCGTCCCTCCACCATTACCTAAGTAGGATTGTAAAATTAATCATCGTGCGACATAATCTTATTATAATTAAGTTACCTTGGGATGCCGGCTTTCAAACGAACTTCTTTACGACCGCATGCAGAAAACCACACTCTAAAAATGACTACCTAAGTGGCATGGATTCTTCTCATTGGTTTTCGATGCCCTTAAAAATCCAATTATATTTCACGGAGAACATGCATAAAAATATGCATTATTTTACTCGCTTGGTAGAAACTTACGTCTTATGACACATGGGATCTTGTAGACGACGCCATTTCTATCAATATAATCAACGCTGTA